AAGAAGCCTAAATCCAGTGGACATTGAGGGTAAAGTGTGGAAAGCAGCTTGTGGTTTCCTATTTTAGAATTTTTGGCTTGTTTTGCCTGAGCACTTTCTCCCCACCTAATAGTAAATAGGAGGTCCCTATACTATTTGATGAATGGGGACTCGTTTCCTCTTGATGTCTGTTTGGGAAGTTTACTCCTTTTATATTCTGTCACTGTAGCGATTATTGAAAACATATTTGGAAGCTGTAAAAAAGATCCTTAAATGTAAGCAGATTCTAAAGATAAGTGATTATAATGACACTAAATCATTTCCTTTGTTTCTGGAGGCCTCCATATTTCTCCTACAAGACAGTACTGTCATAAATTGTCTGCTGGGAACGTTACCCTAAAAGTTTCATTTAAGACAAAGGAGACCAGAAATTTCTGTCTTTAAGATGTAATAGCCTTGTCTTCTATACTCATAAAAAAGGTATGCAGTGCACTTCTAATTATTTTTCCTGGACGATTAAAGATGGCAAACCAGGGGCACCTGGGTGGCTCAGTGGGTTAAAGCCTCTGCCTTCGGCTCAGGTCATGATCCCAGGGTCCTAGGATCAAGCCCCGTGTTGGGCTCTCTGCTCAGCAGGGAGCCTGCTTCCTCCTCTCTCTCTGCCTGCCCCTCTGCCTCCTTGTGATCTTTGTCAAATAAATTAAAAAAAAAAAAAAAAGATGGCAAACCACTTTGTGCTCATCAACTTGATTCCCTTCAGCTGTCCTAGACTTTCCAAAGGGTCTCACTTGACACCATTTTGCATTTCAGAGCAGATCATTTCCTATGATGGTAGCACCGTTCCTCAGGTGTTTCCTTACTCTACCACTCCGCGTTTGAAGCAAGGCGTGTTTATTATTTCAAGATTCAGTATTCCAGTCATGAAATAGAACAAGGCTAGGAAAAGTGAATAACCCCCTTTTAAGCAAAAAATCAACTCTCTGGAAACACAAATATAAACTGCTAACTAAAACCTTAAAAAAAAATGTGTTCTAAGACACAAAAATAACCAGAGGGCGAGTATTTTTATTCAAAGATTTAATGCAAGCCAGAAATACCCACAGGGTGAGGCAGGGAAGGGTGGTTATTGAAAGCACAGCTGGCTCTGGAGTCAGACAAGGAAGGTCTGCACGCTGGCTGTGTCTCTCCACGCTGTGTGACCAGTCCTGCAGATTTACTTCACCTCTATATTTTCTACAAAATGGGGACAACAAAAACACCAACTACAGGGGAGTGTTGTGGGGATAAAAATGAGAGGATGCACCAAATGTGCTATGCCTGGTACACTGTAAGTAATCAACACATTTTAGTTATTATTAGTTGCAAGTGCCATGTAGAAAGATATTTATTTTTTAACCATTAGGACAAAAGGGAAACATTTCTAAAAAGACTGAAAAAATGAAAAAAATATGAATTCCTTACCAATAAATGGATAGTAACATCTTTTCTTCATATGCCTTATTGATTTTCTCAGGTAATTTCAAAGGCTTTTTTACAACTACAACCATCGTAAAAGCAATGTCACAATTATTAAGGAAAAAGAGACGTGGATTAAAAGTAAGTCCTTATGAGTGAACAGTGTAGAAGAATTCTGATAGTTTTTGTTAGGACAATTGGAACTTTTTCCTTAACACCTATTAATTACTCGAAATTATATTTATAGTGCTATAGACTAAATTGTCACTGGCACTCTCACAGACAGTAAGATACTTTAAATAAACCTAAACTTCAAAAAGGTTAAGTATATAATGAAGTAGAAGCTCTTAAATATTCCCAGTTACATTTTAATTGGTTTAACCTCTCTGCCAAACAACTTGGCAAATTTGGTATTCAACAAAATTCATAAAACGGTAAAGACCATTGGACCCAGGAATAATCCAAAAAAGGTTATGAAGGACAATTAGTTGGATTATTTTTGTTTCTTTCCTTCATTTTTTTGATAATAGCATTATTGATATATAATTCACATTTCATTCAATCCAATTAAGTATACAATTCAGTGTTTTTTAGTATATTCAGAGTAGTACAACCATCATCACAATCAATTTTAGAACGTTTGCCTCAAAAAGAAACTCAACATTCTTTGGCTATCATTCCCCAATTCCATCTCTGCACCCAGGGCTACGCAACCATTAATCCTTTCTGTCTCTAAGGATCTGCCTATCCTGGACATTTCATAAAAACAGAGTCATCATGCTAAGTGAAAGAAACCCGTCACAAAAGACTTTATATGTTCTCGAGGGTTATTCATGTTACACCATATATCAACACATCCTTCTTATGGCCAAATATTTCATTGCATAGATATACCACATTTAATTTATGTGTTCATCAGTTGGTGAACATACATATCATTTCACCTTTTGGCTTGTATGGATAATGCTATTATGAACATTCATGGACAATTTTTTTTTAATTTTAAAATTTTTAGTTTTTAAGTAATCTCTATACCCAACACAGAGCTTAAACTTACAACCCTGAGATCAAGAGTCACATGCTCTAATGACTGAGCCAGCCAGGCACCCTACATGGACAAGTTTTTACTTGGACATGCCCCCATTTTTCTTGGCTATCTACCTAGAAGTAGAATTTATATGATTTATATGGCTTATATGGTCCGACAATGTAATTATGTTGCACTCCCAGAGGTATTATGCAGAAATGCTATACTCTGAAAAGTACTCTACAGAAAAATTTTGGCCATGTAATAAGAAAACCACATAATAATATGGGAAAAGGCTACATGAAATGAAAAAAAGGGTAAAACCCACTTAAAATCTTGCCTGCGCTTCCCTTCCCCTTCTCCATCCTATGGACCTAAGGACCTCAATTCTCCCCCTTCCTCCATTCTCAGGACCAGCTAGATACACTACCTTTCAGAGATTTTTTACAACCTCTCAGCTTCAGAACCTTTGTACTTGTTGTTTTCCCCTGCCTGTATCACTTTTTCCCCCACTTCTTTGCCCAGTGGTTTCAAGTCTCATCTTAAATGTCACCTCCTCAGAAAAACCTTCTCTGATATCCCTAGCTAGTCTAAGGTTGAACATTTCCATAGCAGTCTGCAATTTTCCATCTTAATACTTTTGATACTGGTAATTGTTTATTTGCTTAGTAATCAGATACTGAGAGGTTATTACATGCAGGGATACAGAGTGAAAACAAAACACACAAGATCCTAGACCTTGTATTCTAGGGAGTGAACTCAGCACACATATACAGATCAATGTACTGGGTAATTTTTTTTTTATTCATTTTCTTCCAGTGTAGTTAACATGCAGTGTTATATTCATTTCTGGTGTACACTACACACCAATACAGCGATTCAACAGTTCCATATACTACTCAGCGTTCATCAGTTAAATGTACCTATTAATTCAGTTAAATGTACCTATTAATTCCTTTCATCTATTTCACCCATCCCCCGCCTGTCTCCTTTCCGGTGGCCATCTGTTCTCTATAGTTGAGTCTGGTTTTGTTCTGTTTTGTTTTGTTTGTTTGTTTCTCTCTTTCTTTTTTCCTTCGTTACCTATTTTGTGTCTTAAATTCCCCAATAAGTGAAATCATACATTTGTCTTTCTCTGATTGGCTTCTCACTTAGCGTTATCCTCTCTAGAGCCAGTCTTGTTGCAAATGACAAGATTTCGCCCTTTTACGGCTGAATAATATTCCACATCTTTATCCATTCACCTGTAGATGGATACCTGGGCTGCTTCCACAGTTTAGCTATTGTAAATAAGGCTGCAATAAACTTATGGGTGCATATATTCCTTCAAAATAGTGTTTCCGTGTTCTTTGGGTAAATATGTACCGGGTAACTTTAGATTGTGATTATTAGCTTAATATTTATTCTGTGTGCATTGTACACTCCATGAAGGCAGGAACTATTTCCGTCTTGGTTCCTTCCAGTTCGCTAGCGCTTACCACTGAGTCTGGTCGGATGAATAAGCTCAATACAATTTTTTTCAATGACTGACAAAACAGGCATATAAAAAACAGAAATGGAAAACACAAAGGAGATTACTCCTGTAAATGGTTGAGTTTGAGATTTGTCCCCCTTTCCTCTTTCAAAACTCTAATTCCACATATTCTTTCTCTAATTAAAACAATTAAAAGACGAGCCAGAAATTACCATAGGTGAGTAAAAGAACCTCAAATAAAACACATTTATATGTCACCACACACTCGTTAAACACCTGGTAATAAAACCTACTCAAATAGATGTGTTGGTTCAGTGGACACAATTCCCTTGGCGCATTACCAAGCATGTTCCCTGCCATCGATAGTATAATTTACCGTTTTAAAAGGCCTTTAACACCCAAGACGATGCTTAAGGATATGATCTTCCAAACTGCCAGATTTCTAAAGCTCTTGACCGTCTACCTCCATCGGCTATGTGCCACCAGAAAAAAGCCGCAATTCTACTTATATGTAATAGACAATTTTTTGCGAGGTCAACAAAGAATGCAAAATCTTTAACACAACAGAAAACCAGCCCCTTCCCAATAATCCCTTCTTACAAGCCCTAGACACTCATCAGGTTGGATAACAACAAGCAGCTTCGCGGTGAGCAAAGGGAGCATCCGGACAAACCCCACCCCCAAGAGGAGCGCTCAGCTGCTTCTTTCTTCCCCGGGGCGCATGCGCAGCGCACTCTCCGGCCACCGCACGCCTCTGCCAGCGAGCGGACGGCGCTTACGTCACCGTGAGCGGACGGTGTGCCCTTCCGCTTCTCCTAGGGAAACGAGACCGCGCACCTTTGAGTTTCCTTGGCCTGTAGGAAATGTCTTCCCTTCTCGACCCCAGTACTTCTCCCGCCCGCCTCCAACAGCTCAGCTTCTTGCCGGACTCCCCTGTACGCTCGTTGGACGGTGAAGGCCACGGAAAAGAAAAAAGGGGAGGGGGGAAAGATCAGCTCAGTGTTGTTTACAGCGAGTAAGCAGATCTAGGAATCGGTCCGCGAGGGCGGAGCCGACGGAGCCGGCACTTTTTTCTCCCCTCCCCTCCCTCCCCAGCCTTCCCCGCGAGCGGACGCGGCAGCGCCTCTGTCTCGCTTTTTCTTATTTTCCCCCCTTTCCCCTTCCTTTTTTTTTTCCTTTTTTCCCCCTTACCCCCTTTTCACCATTTCCCCTCGGAGACGCTTCCCCCGGGCAGGGGCAGAGCCGGTCTCACCCCCCGCCTCTCCCCGGCCCCCGCCGCCCTATGGCGAGAGGGAACCCCCTCCCCACCCGGGCACTAGCGGCGGCCGTTGGAGGAGTGGGACCGGCGCTGACCGCGGCGGCCTCAGGCCCGGGGGAGTCATGGAACTAATTCGCTGACCCCCCGGCCGCAGCCGTGCGTCCCGCTCGCTCGCCAGCGCCCGCGCCCCCGCCCCGGCCCGGTTCCCCCTCTTCTCCCTCCTCAGTCGGTGCCGTCCTGGTCCCGCGCGCCCCGCCGCCGCGCGCTGAGGAAAATGGGGTGGTAACGTGCCCCCGGATGACCCCGCATCACCACTGTGAGGCCTACAGCTCCGCCGGGGAGGAGGAGGAGGAGGAAGAGGAGGAGAAGGTGAGGGGGCGGGGGGACTCGCGGCGTCTCGGCGCCCCGCGCTCGCGCGCCCCCCGTCGCCCCCGCCCCCCGCGCTGCCCGGAGGGTAGCTCCGGGCGCCGCGCTCGGTGGCTAAAGCAGACCCCCGCCGCCCCCCAAAGGCAACCTTCGGGACCACCCCCGGTCCGCCCCGTCCGCGCCGGAACAGTTCGGCACCTGCCCGGTTCGTCAGCGGCTCCGCCGCGTTCCCTTCGGGCCAGTTTCTGTGTCCGCGAGTAACTTCGGTGTAGCGACGGCGAGCTGCCCGCGCCTGCCCGTTCCGGGCCCGCGGGCTGAGCGGTGCACAAAGGGGACACACCCCCACCCTTGCACTTCGGGGCTGCTGCGGGAGCGGAGGGCGACATTTACATTGCAAAGCCGAGGGGCCGCCGGGCGGGCCGGGCCCCGCTGGTGCCCGGGAGGTTGGGGGAGGGGCCGTTACCCGAGGTTGGGGGTGGAGAGGAGGTGAGAGTCGAGTCGCACGCTGAACGGCGCTTCCCCGAATGGTGAGAAGGAGGGCCGAGGGGGAAGGGGAGAAGGGGGGAGGTAAATGCACCGAAATTTTGAAGAGGGCGGAGCGGCCCTCTCCGGAGCCAGCGGTTCCTTTGTAGGTGGTTCGGGCCAGAGTGGAGAATCAGGTAGCAGCGTAGGGGAAGGTCTGTCCGGGGAGCTGGAGTGGAGCCAGACCGTGAACGTCCAGCTGAAGTGTTTAGTTTTCATTCCGTCCGCGTCCGAGGAGCGGAGCGGACTGTTGGTGGCACTTGTGGACGCTTCTTGTCTGGCGGGCGTCGCCGAAGGTGGTTCGCAGACTCCCGAGCCTCGGGAGGACGCGGTGGGAGGCAGGTGGTCCGCGAGCCTCATTTCGCGGAGGAGGGACCCGGAGGGGCCAGAGGATGACCTCCCCTGGCGGTGCCGGCTGGGGGCCGGTGGCGGGAATGCAGACCCGAGCCGTCCGGCGGTGCCACGTAGTCTGCGTCCCAGAAGTGGAGTTGGGAACTTGGAGGTAGCGTCCCTGGCTTCCAGCTTCCGTGCATGGTTCGGGGTCCACGAAATAGGACAAGTAGCTTCAGAAAGAGTGAATCGGGTTTAGAGTTGCTGGTCTGCAGCCAGAAAGAGGAGCGATTCTGGACACATTCCGGAACCCTGACGGAGAGCAGAGTCGCGGTCGTGCGAGCCGGGACGGCTGGCAGAGTTGCTGTTCAGTTCCAGGTGACCGCGCTTATGTGCCCGTTTGACTCGTGTTTTTGGTGGGGGCTGGAAGCTGCGTGTGTGTGTTCAGTTCTGATACACAGTCGGTGTCGTGTGAAGTGTACAGTACTCTAAAAGGGGAGGGTCCCTTTCTCTGCGTGTTTCTTCCTCTTCAGAACGGGCTTAACAGTAATGCCAGCTTCTTGAGGTTGCGTAAGGATTAAGGGAGTTAAGGTGGCGGAGTACCTCGAACAGGATCTGGCCAAGGAGAGAGCACTCATGGCTTTGACTTAGGTGGAGCTGAAGTGTGCGCCCTTCGTTAGACATTCGTGCTGAATCTGGAGAGTGTGTGCCTGCCCTCGGAGAACTCACGGTTTGTAGGAGACACGGGTTGGCAAATAATTCTCACAGAGCAATTAAATGCAAAAGTAGAATTATGTCTAAGTACAGATGTCAGAAGGCAGGGGACTAGACACAGACCTTTGCAAGGGACAGCTCCGGAGGAAGGGGAGTGCCAGCTAGAGAAGGACAGTTAGGTTGAAAGAACTGTGTGGACAGGATGGCGCTGGGGAGACAAACGGCGGGCTGTCATGGGATATAATGAACCTGTAGTTCATTATTAGGTTAGGGGCATGAACTCAGGGAGATGGTCACATTAATAAATCCTTCTTTTTAGAATAGGAACTAAGATCCAGAAGTCTGCACCAGCACAGACTTATAAATGGAGTTGGTGTTACAGTGATAATAACTATAATAATTCTGTATGAATGAAGTTATTTGTGTTTACCCAAGACTGTGCAGTACTTTTCCTTAGAATAGCAGGAGGCCCTGTATGTAGATTTCTAATACAGTTTATGCTATACAATAACTTTATAAAGCTGTTCATGCATGCATTAAGCTCTTTGATAAACACGGAGAAAAAAGCAGAAATAATTGAAAGAATGACAGGAGAAATGTTGAACTGTCATAAAGCTAGAAGTGTGTGGAATACGCCATTCAAAACAGCCCTTCTGTTTCTTAGTTCCTAGAGACGTCTATCTGAGCGTTCACAGTTCTGGATGTGACTAATGGCGTGAAATAATAAGATACAACTCTAAAGGTCTACTATTTAAAACAGTAAAATTATATTTTAAGTGTATTTTATTCAGGTTGCATTAATCTAACTCAGTCTATTTTACACATTAGAAAACAGGCTGGTGCATTATCAGAAGAAAAGTAAAACTCAAGCTAATGCTTTCTTCACTGTATCATTGTTTGTCTTACTAGAATCATTTAAAAAAAATTTTTTTTTAATATTTATATGGGGGTGGGCAGCACAGAGGGAGAAGGAGACTCCCACTGAGCAGGGAGCCCGACAGTGCAACAGTGACAATTTGGGGCCTGATCCCAGCACCCTGAGATCGTGCCCCAGGTGGGCAGACACTTAAAACCAACTGAGCCACCCAGACGCCCTGTCTTACTAGAATTTCGAAAAGGAGTGTCAAAGGTATCCCTCTAATATAAGCACTTCCATAAATACAGCCTTGGGGGATGGGGATTAACTTGTAAATAATTTTAAAAAGAAACTATCATTTCATCTACCATCAGCATTTCACTGCATATTTATCATTTCTCCTCGCTCTCATATATACGTAAATTGCATATGCCCTTTACTCCTAAGGATTTTAGTGTGTATTTTCTAAGAGGGATGTTCTTACAGAATCACAATAAAGTTATCAACTTTAGTAAATGTAACATTGATACATTTACTTTAATTTGTCCATGTTCCCGTTATGTCATTTGGCCCAATAATGACCTTTATAGCATTTTATCTTCCCAGTTTAGGATTGAGTCTAGCATCCGATATTGAACTTTCATTTTTCTGTAGTCTAATTTGATCTGAAATATTTTCTCCATCCTTTTTTCTTTCACTCGGATTATTTATATCTTATTTTTAAAAGATAAAGGAAATTTGAACTCTTTACCCTTTGTTACATTCCCCTAGTGTGAGCGAAGAATGTTTCCTTTATTTTCTATTATTCATATGGTGTATTACATTAATCAATTTCCTGAATGTTAAACCAACTTTGCATTCCTGGTGCAAATCCCACTCAGTTATGTTATGTAATCCTTTTTTTTAATGTTGCCAGATTCAGTTTGCTACTATTTTCTTGAGGAATTCTACATCTTTATTTAGAAGAGATGTTCTCCATAGTTTTCTAATGCTGTTTTCTTTGTTTGCTTAACTGGCCTCATAAAATGAGTTGAGAAATGCTCTTCCTCTACTTTTTGGAGGAGTTTGTGAAGAATTTTAATCTTTCTATAGATGTAGTATTCATTAGTGAAATCCCTTGGGCATAGGCTTTTCTTTGACAGTTGTTTACTAATTGAATTTCTTGTTACGTGGCTCTTCAGCTTTTCTGTTTCTTTTTAAAGTCCGTTTTGGTAATTTGTAGTTCTAGATATTTGTCCATTTCATGCAAAGTTGTCTAATTTATTGCAAATCCTTGTTCATAAGATTCCTTTATAATACCTCTTATTTCTACAACATAGGTGATAATGTCTCCTTTTATTCCTGATTTTAGTACTTCATCCTTTCTGTTTTTATTTGGTCAGTGTAGCTAGAGGTTTGCCAATTTTGTTGATCTTTTCAAAGAACCAACTTTTAGTTGCATTGATTTTCTCTATTTTTCTATTCCTTCATTAATTTCCACTCTTAATTTTTCTTCTGGTTTGCTTTAGGTATAGTTTGCTCTACTTGCATCCCATAAGTTTTGATATGTTTCCTTTTTCATTACCTCAAAGTATTTTCTAATTTTCCTTGTGATTTCTTCTTTGACCTGCATTCTTTGTTTAAAAAAAAAATTGTTAAAGCATCTAAGTATTTGAAACTCTTACTTAGGGTCTTAACTGTAGAAAATTGGAGAACAGGAATCTCTTGAACCTTCTTATTCTCTACATGATTCTATCTTGTTTATCTCTCTCTGTCCCCATCCATCTATCCATCCATCCCTCCTAAAAATAATCTTCAGAGGAAGCATTTTGAGGGAAGAGTAATCACAGGGGCAGCCAGCCATTGGTGTGCTGAGAAGGCTGAGGGCTCCCGATGAGCCATCCTGTTGGGTGAAACTAATGGAATGAAGTAATTTGGTATGTTTTAACAAGAGTTAACAAATTACAGACTAAAATTCGGTTAGAAGAAACCTTAGAACCAATAAATAAACCAAGTTTAATCTCCATCCAATATAGGTGTTTTTTCCTAAAGATTTCTTGACTGATGGTCATCTAGTTTACACTCTATTTCTAAAGTTAATAAGGTTAATATTTCCATCTGGTTTAGATGAAATTATAGTGAGTTTATTTATCTAGTTATGGAAAATCTGAGAAAAGTACCAAGGCAGCAAAATTGCAATCAGAACATCTCAGCCGAATGTAACAGTAGATGGAATATAACAAGATGACCTTTTTTTTTTTTAAGATTTTATTTATTTATTTGACAGACAGAGATCACACGTAGGCAGAGAAGCAGGCAGAGAGAGAGGAGAAATAGGCTCCCCGCTGAGCAGATGCGGGGCTCGATCCCAGGACCCTGGGATCATGACCTGAGCTGAAAGCAGAGGCTTTAACCCACTGAGCCACCCAGGCGCCCCACAAGATGACCTTTTAAAAAAAAAAATACATTTATAGTCCTGAACAAGGTTGTCCCCCCTCCCCCCCCCCAAAAAGGGGCTCCAAAACTATGTACATGGTGGGGACGTGGAGACGGAGTTTGCCTCAGTGTACCTCAGAAGGTCTTAAGAGTTCATACTGTGGTATGGACTCAAAAAAGTAGCTAATGATCTTAGACTGCATTTAGAAGAGCAAAAGTCATGTCATGTGGGGAAATCTTGGGCAGTTCTTCAGCTATGAAAGAAGAATTGGTGGCCACCTTCAGACATTTCAAGAATTGGCTTATGAAAGAGAGTTTAGGCTTGGATTGGTTTGTTTTGGTTTTGGCCCCAAGGATTGAAACCAGTCTTTGGTTGAGTCCCTGTTTCATGAGGATTCTGTGAGTGATAAAAAAACAAAACAAAACAATATTGGTAGGTAATCTTGTTAGTATCATAATGTTTATCATTTCATAGGGAAAATAGTGGGAAGCTGCTTTCAGACAGAAATCACACCAGATTAGAGAATCAAGAATTCTTGGAAGAAGTTAACCTTTGAAATGGGCCTTTGGTTAGGTAGTATTTCTTTTCCTTCTGTGTTATTTACCATTTTTTCTTGGTATGAAAGGTACTTAATGCTCGTTATAGGAAATGTGCAAAAACAAAGACGTTCAAAGAAGCAAAATGAAAAAAAAAAAAATCAGTATCCAGTTAACCAGAGGTAGTCTGCAGTAGGTTCTGTAGCAAGCTGGTGAAGCATGGGAAGTGATGACTAAGAAAGGGATCCGACCTGGAGTTGGGGGTGAAGGGGGCATGGACATTGAAGTTTGTTTTTAATTAATTTTAAATTTTATTTAAAAATCAGAACTTTTCTTTGTTAATTCTAGATATTTACTTTTTTGAAAATCTCACAAATATGAAGTACATAATACAGGTACATAGTTGAAAAATGAAATAGTTAATATGAGGTTTATAATGAAGAAGAGCGTTCTTCTGTTGCTGGATTTTCTAACCCTTTTCTTACAGGTTAACTTCTGAGTGCTTATCTGTTTCTCTTTCTCTCTGTCTCTTTTTTTTTTTTTAAGATTTTATTTATTTATTTGACAGATCACAAGTAAGTGGTGGGGGGGGGGAAGCAGGCTCCCTGCTGAGAAGAGAGCCCAATGCAGGGGGGAAGGCTTGATCCCAGGATCCTAAGATCAGGACCAGAGCTGAAGGCTTAACCCACTGAGCCACGCAGGCGCCCCAGCTTATCTGTTTCTCTTGTATTTAAGATCATATTTTCAAATAATTTGCTCTACTGCTTTTTGATATTTCAGTTTTAGGTATTTATGTTTTGCCTACAGTGACGCATAAAGATGTAGTGCTCATTTTACCTTCTTACACCTCCCATCTTCCCAATGCAGTTTTAATCTGTTTGTTGAAGTCCCTATTCAGTATTTTCACTGTTATTGCTATGTGAATGTTGTGATATATTATTATATTTACCTTCTTGCATAATCTTTGTTTCTGAAGCCAATTACCTTTTTAGTTCCTTAGCTTTCGTCAAATCTGGTTGAATCTTGCCGTATCTTCAGTTTCTCAGTCTAATTTTCTGTACATGGTTGTACCTCTCAAATCTCTAGTTTCTTTTTTTTCTTTTTTCTTTTTTTAAACCTAAAGGCATCTCTCCTAGACTTTCAGTTGCCTGCACTGATCTACACTGTTGCTCCTTAGGCTTGCTCATTTTAGAGGGCCAGTCAGCTGATTGTTGAGTTTTCTAGATCAACACTTTCCAGTAGAACTTTTCTGCAGTGATGGTGCTGAAAAGGAGTATTTCTATCTGATACATTATCCACCAACCACATGTAATATCAAGCATTTGAAATGCTGCTACTGTGACTGAAGAATTATATTTTAACTTTATTCAGTTAAAATATAATTGACCATATGTGTAGCTAGTGGACACTATATATTGGAAGCACAAAGATGGTTTTATACTTACGGGGATGATTTCATACTAATTATACGGGAATGGGTGGGATTTAATGTAATGGATATAACTTTTTTAATGAAGAAAAAGGTTAATAGCCCTTATCTGGTTAGATTTTTCAGAGGGATATTTGGGACAATTATTAAGGATTGCTAGTATAAAAAGCCCACAATTTAAGATTTGTTGACACAATTTGAGACACAATAATATATTTTCATTGGAGTCTATTGGTTCTATCAATTATATGGCCATGTTTTTATTTTCCTTATGACTGAGTTTCAAATTTAAAGTGAATATGTTTAGGTAACTGATTATTACTGTAACATTTTAATATATGATGTTTTAAAGAGCTGTAAAATCCTCTACTGCCTCATAACATTCTTAATTTGTTTTATGAATTGCTTAATAAGAACCAACATATTTAGACAGTGCTACATGTATTTTATAATGAAAGAAAAAGCATTGTTTTATATTTGATTTTATAGGTAGCTACATCAAGCTGGGAGGCAGGCAGATCCAAAGGATATCATGAAGTTTCCAGGGCCTTTGGAAAACCAGAGATTGTCTTTCCTCTTGGAAAAGGCAATCTCGAGGGAAGCCCAGATGTGGAAGGTGAATGTGCCGAAAATGCCTACAAATCAGGTAATGATTTTTCTCATCACTCTAGATAGAGGACTTCTTTCCGCAATAAGTGTGCTGTCATAAAGTGGTATCTTGACACTGCATTGGAGAAATCTATACCATTAAAGGATATGCTCTATTCTTTATTGGAGAAACCTCCCCTTGTTTTATTTTGAAACAGGACAAAAATGACTATTTTGTTTTTGGTTGTTTGTTTTGTTATCTGAGTTACAGCTTTAGGAAGATATGTTCTTTTTCTTTGTAGTCCAATACTAACAATAGTAAGCTTTCTTTATATCTAGGTATATAGTTAGCTACGGAGGCTGAAATTATCTTTAGTAAACAAATTGTTGTGTATTTCTTGGATAATTATAAGGAGTTCAAGTAGCTACTAAGGCAATGCTAATGTTGGACATTTGTAGGGAAATAGCCATCTTACCTCTCAGTTACTGTTAGCTATATGCCTTTTCTTTTAGAAATTTTTATGCTTCTCTCATTTAATCCTGTTATTTTTGACAAATAACTATGAAGTTTAAGCACTCCCAGAGCTTATTGTATAAGCTCTTTTTATCACTAGTACTTAGCACTGTGCTTGGGATAAAGAACAGTGGCCAAGAAAATTTGGATTTTTGATTTTTAGGTAAATGAATAGCAAATATCTTAGTTCCTCCTTTGGTTTAGGTTAACCTTTGTTCATAGGTTATTAAAATCTGTATGCATTTTCTACTGACCGACTTCTGTCATCCCTTCTCACAAGCTGAAGAAAGATGTTTTGCATTTACTGTTACTTATTTGTTGTTTAGCAGATTGAAAATTTGTTACCCTGGGTGAATATCTTTCAAGCTAGGGGCATCTCCATATTCTGTCACATTTACTCTCTTACTGTAGTCTTTGAGATAGGCAGTAGTCCCACTTTGCTCAAGAGTGGAATAACTAGTAGAAGTAGAATTTGAACTTGAGGTAGTTCTCTTTCCGTTGTACTTCGTTTTTCAGTTTTTGTGTGTGTGTGTGTGTTTGATTTTTTTAGATTACTTGGGAATTCAGTCATTCAGTAAATGTTCATTAAGTATCTGCTCCATGCTGAGTACTTCTAGCATTGGACATACATCAGTGAGAAAAATAGAAATTCCTACCCTTGCGTTCTGACTTTCTGGTAAGCCTCAAAGCTTTAATACAGCGGGCTTTAGAACCATTTCTTTCTTCCTTCTGCTGTCTCCTTGAGTCAGCATGTAACCAATGATAATATTCTTCTACAACATGGTCTTTGAACATGATGTTCTACCAAGATTACAGTATATTGCTCTATTATCATTTAATCTGGCCTATATCTGTAGGTGATTTGACAGGTATTACTGAGGCAATACCAGAGAATAGAACAGTGTTAGAACTTTGGAGAGGGAACCAATTAAGGGTTTGCCTTTAGTAATATCAAGTGCAAGCCAAAGTCAGTTCTTACAAAATGTGGGTGGGCTTGTTCTGATGGGGATAGGGGTTAAGACTGCGGTGAGAGTTAAGAGCTATAGGAGCTCAGCCACTTGCTGTAGTAACCCCCAGGGACACTTGTCTATTTAGTTCTAATTTCCTTATTTTCTTCTGCCACTCTCAGGGACTGGCTTTTCTAGTTCTCTTCCCACTATTGCTTCTAACCATGATTACCCTCCTTGATTCCTTGCAGAAAAGAAACACAGTCTTACCATTAAGCCATAAACATACTTTTCCAGCTTTTCAAATATTTTTTAAGTGCTGGTAAAAACGGAAAAATAAAATATTATAAAGGTTTCTTTTATGCTTCTTTCCTTCAGTTTCCTTTTCTGTCTTTTTTCTACCTAAGCTCTGTCTCTGGATCATTCTCTCACAGTTCTCTTCTAATCTGCATCCCCTGTCCTCAAGTTTAGGACAGAGTGGTCATACAAGAATATTGTGTACCTATCACTCCCCTTCTGTGTGCTCCCACAGCACTCTTTACTTCCTTTGTGATAGTATGCAGTATTAAAATTTCCTGATGATTTGATTGTGAGTTTCCTTGGGGTTGAGTTGTGTCATTTTTGTTTACTGGCATAAAATAGACTTCCAGTAAACATCTGTAAAATGTGCATTATCATTTCTTTATAATTAGCCCAGGTTAGAGAAGTTCTTTTATATAATAGTGGTATTTTCAAGTACACAATAATTTGGTTACATGAATTTGAAGACTGGTCAAAGTGACATGGACTTTCATATATTCTCTATTTTGTTAATGTGCTTTTGATATGCAAAGATAAAACTGCTTCAAGCTATTAAAAAGATTTTCATTAGAATTTTGACACTAAGGAATCCTAAAGGCCATATAATTATGTGGTTTCTGAATACAGGATCTTAAGCCACGAGGCTGCTGAGTGCGTCAGAATCACCCAGGAAGGCTCTTACAGAGATTCCAGGTCTTATCTAGACCTACTGGGCTTGTGGTAGCAGTAGTGGAAATTTGTGTTTTAAAAAGCTTCATGGTTTTATTAATATGCATTAGGTTTGAGAGACACTGATTTACTCTAACACACAGTAGTAACATTCTTCTGACATCTCTGAAAAGTTATTTTTTGCTTTGGATACTTTGTCCGGTCTGCTGTGGGAAAACTATAAATTATTGGAAAGATTTTCCTACATTGCACCTGCAAACTGCTTCTTTTTAGTGGCCACTTACTAGTTCTGGTTTTGTCCACTGGAGCAATACAGAATGCGTCTGTTTAGTTTAAATGACAGCCCTTTATCTACTCAAAGACGCAGGAAGCCCACAAAGTCCTCTTTGCCTGATTGAACACCCTGTGTTTTTTAACCATTATTTGACAAGATTTTACCACTCCAGATACACTCATTCAGTGTGTTTCTTAAAGTTGTGACATTTCATTTGTAGTCATTAATGAGCAGTGAAGTGAAACTGTTACCTCACTTTATCTTGGCTTGATGATTTCATTAAACTGGCCCTAGATTTCACTGTTTTGGCAGCGGTGTCCTGCTGACTTACTCAAGTAGTTTAGTTGCGAAGCACATTTTCCTTTGTGCTAGATGTGGTTTTTAATTTTTGACCTAGGTGTGGTGTTATTTGTTCTTACTAAACTTAAAATTGTTGATTCTGATCCGCTTTTCTGGCTTTAAGATTATAATTGTTATCTAATCTGTTGACTTTCTGTCATTCTTGTATAATCTGTGGATTTGGTAAATAAATAAATCTATTTAACCTGCAGGTTGGTTTCTCTTTTTTCTTTCCTTTAAACGGTTTCTTGAAGTATAATGTACAGAAAAGTACACAGATTGTAAGTGTACAGGTGTAAAATACACCACTTTACTGGCACTTTAGAAGACCCCTTCTGTCCTCTTGTAGTTACTACCGTCAACCCCCCCAACCAAAAAAAAAAAAGACAGTCCTAATACCAGATTAGTTTTTCCTGGTTTTGAATTTCATACATGTATATGGAATCATAGAGTATGTACTGGCCTCTTGTTCAGTATTTTTTTAATGTAAGATTCATCTGTGTTACTTCATGTAGCCATAATTTATTTATTCTCATTGCCATGTATAATTCTTTGAATTTATCTCTTCTGTTGATGGTCATTAGTGTCATCTTGTGCATGTCTCAGTGAACATATGTGTATTTTTTGAATATATTTTTAGGAATGGAATTGGTAGAACCTAGATATGTGTATATCAGGTTTAGTAGATAACCATCAGTTGTCCCAAAGTTGTTATGTTTTGTTATGTTATATCACGTTTTTGTGGGGTTTTTTGGTTTTGTTTTTACCCCTTCTAGCAGAGTATGAAAATCCCAAGTTACTCTATATCCTTGTCAACCCTTGGTTATTGTCTTTCCATTTTCATTATTCTGGTTAAGTGTGTTATAGTATCACATTGCGTTCAATTTGCTTTTCTTTAATAACTAATGAAGTTCAGCTTTTCATGTGTTTTTGGCCATTAGATCTACTTCTTTGATGTGGTGTCTGTTCAGATCTTTCATCTGGGTTTCTGCTGAGTTGTCTTTTAATCGTTTTGTAAGAGTTCTCTTTCTTTGCAGACTGTATTGCAGATGTCTCCGACTCTTTGTGTTGACCTTTGATCAGTAGAAGTCCTTTGTTTTTAATGACCAAGTTACCGAAATTTTTTTCCTTTTTTAAAGGAATGTTTGTCTATTCCAGTGTAACGAAGATACTCTCTCGGATTTTCTTTCTGCAGACTTGATTGTTTTACCCCTCACATTTAGGTGTCCATCCCAGTTGGGATTTCGGGCGGGGTGGGGTAGGGTGTGAAGTGTAGGCGTCCATTTATTCCTTAGGGAACCGCCACCATTTATTAAAAAGATACTTTTCCGTATTTCCCTGCAGTTTTGTTATAAATGAAGTGACTACTATAAACCTGGGAATGTATTTGTCTGTTTCTTGCCTCTTTTCTTGCCATTTGCCCATTTGCTGTTCTTTAATACCATGTTGCAGTAATTATTACAGATTATAATAAGTGTTTGGTGGCATAAACTTTGTTTTTTTTTTTTCCAAGATGATTTTGGCTATTCTTAACTCTTTGCTCTTCCATATATATTTTAAAATATACTTGTCAATTAAAAAAATTGAAGGGATTATTGAATCTGTTACTTTGGGGAGAATTGACATGTTTATAATAGGAGTCCTCCAATTCAGAACATAGACTATTGCTTCATTTTCTTTAAAGTTGGTCTTAAATGTCTTTTTTTTTTTTTTTTTTTTTTTTTTTAGGTTTTATTTATTCATTTGAGAAAGGGAGAGGGACAAGCAGTCTCTCTGCTGAGTTTGGAATCCAATGTGGGGCTTGATCCCACAACCCTAAGATCATAACCTGAGCCAAAATCAAGAGTCAGACACTTAACTGAGCCACCTAGGAGCCCCGATCTTCAGTTTCATTTAATAATATTTGCTACTTTAGGTTTATCCTAGATATTTGAGTCTTGTTGAGGCTGTTTTAGATTTTTCATTTTTTGAGTATGTTTCTGTACACTGGTATATGGAAATAAAAATGGATTTTT